TTCCTGCTTTCTATCTTACCCACTAGAGTTCTCCGTAATTCAAGCAAGGATCATTGGAAGTTTGGACCATGGCTCACAAAACACGAGGTACATTGGCAGCTCTGCTGCTGACCTTGGGCCAGTTCCTCAAACTGGCGGAGGTTTTCCCCATCTATAAACGGGGACAGTCTACCTGACCAATGGCATTTTTCACAAAAATTTTTGAGGTTGACAGACTTTACGTGGAAGAGGAGGGCACAGAAAAGCTCATGTGTGCTTTGAAATATGGACTTAAATGCATCACAGCGGGCTCGCCGCGCTCTTGCGCTCATCCATGAGCAACCACGTGGCTAGATGGACCTTTGGTCTGACGCACCATGGTGGGTTTGGCAACTTCAGCTCTCAAATCCTCTTGTGCCTGTGCTGAGGAGGAGCTGGGTGGTGCTGGGGCAAGGCAAGGCTGCACTGAAAGTGTTAACTGTGTCCTCTGACCCAACACCACCACCCCAAGCCAGATCCTCTTGCTTCGCTGACCTGCTTGCTCAAACCGCAACGACGGTGTGCTGCAGGCGACAGTGAGGTGGGAGAGGCAAACTGGGGGTGACACTGTTTTTTCCCAGTAACTTTTAAAATGTCATATTTAGTTGATGGAGACAATGCAGCAAAGGTTCCTTTTAGCCCAGCCCACAGTCACCTGTACGTAGGGTGTTCGCTGCCTTTTAGACATGCGACTCTCCCAAAAACGCTCTCCTGCCTGAAATGCTTGAGCTCCGTTGCTGTGGATAACGGCTGAAATACCACTAATGGAAACAGGGCTCTCCCTTCCCCAGTTTTTCCAACATGTGCTGGACACAAACGCACAGATGTACCTCCCCCCCAGTGCAAACATCTCTTTTTCTCTAAAAGAAACTTCAAAACTCTACTTTTCTCCCAGTTTCGCCTCATCTGCACAGTCTTCCCTGCTCAGGATGAGGGGCTGCCAGCCCTGTGAAGTTCCTGTGGGGCTTTTCCACAGGGCAGAGATGGGATCAGTTCCCTGGCAGCTCCTCAGCTCTGCTGCTCACTTGGATTTCATGAAGTCTCTCCAGGCTCCTGTCCTGTCCTCAGCAATTAGGGGCTGTGGTTTGGCACAGATGGGGGTTTGGGATACCAGCCTGAATTACTGCATCCAATGCCACTTTTTTTTTAAAAAAAAGAATAAATAAGAACAGTTGTTCAGCAATCATTAACAACCCTACAACAACAAATGAGCCTTTAGTGCCTCTTCCAACGCCTCTGCAATGCAAAAAAGCATTGGGCTCTGAAATAACACAGCACTGGGTGGGTGTCCCCCACACCACTGAAAAGGTCCAGCGTGCCAAACAATGAAGTCTGCCCTGAGAACCATTTCAAACACTTTGTTTTAAGAATTAATTAAAAGAAACCAAGAAAAACTACAGGGAGAAAAAAAAATCAAGTTGCATAATGCTAGCCCTAAATGATGTTTCTCACTGAAAGGCCACCCTACACGTGGGGAACAGGCTTATCACAAGGCTCACAG